GAAGTATGCTTTTTCTTGGGCAGCCTGCTCTCAGGAGCTTCGATTACATCATGATGCCTCTGCTTCAGCTTCTTCCGGCTGCTTCTCGGGTTATCCCCATTTCTGCCACTCCATAAATCCCTTCAATAATCTCCCCCAAATTAAGTCCTCTCTGGCTTTTCTTACCAACCCATTTCCCTCCCCCAAGTCCAGATCTAATCGGCCTCACAAGTCCGATAGGATCTTTTTGAAAGGACATTCTGTGATTAGGCAATTTTATTCAAGAATGATTGCTGAGGGAACCATCAACGATATGATTTTGCCTGGCAAGAAATATTTGAGAGGGAGATGGATTTCCTTCCTTCTCTCCTTCCTTCCTTCCTTCCTTCCTTCCTTCCTTCCATCCTTCCTTCCTTCCCTCCCTCCCTCCTTCCCTCCCTTCCCTCCCTTCTCTCTCTTCCCTTCTTTCTTTTCCTTCTTTCTTTGTTTTCTTTTCTTTCTTTCTTTCTTTAAAGTCTTTTTGTTATAAAATATAAAACATATATAAAAATACATAAATTATAAATGAGTATATAATTATAACTACAGAATCATAGTAAGTAAACAGCTTGCAACCATGAGAGAGAATATTCCAGAAATCTCAAGCCCCTCTCACTCTTCTATTTGTACCCCTTTCTGATTTGACCTCCCCACCTCCCCAGAGGTCACCTTTTAGGGAAATCCTTCCTTGATTTTCTTTATGTTTTGTCTGTTTTTCAGCTTTAAACAAATGATATCATACTATTTTTATTTCTGTGTGTCTTATTCCATTCATTCAATATCGCTCGTGAGATTCTATATTCGTTTGCTAGGTCTGCTGTAACAAAGGACGAGCAACTGGGGTATTAAACAACAGAAATGTGTTTCTTCATTTCTGGAGGCTGGAAGTCCAAGACCAAGGTGTCGGCCAAGGTGGCGTCTTCCGAGGCCTCCCTCCTTGGCTTGCAGATGACCGTCTTTTCCCTGCGTCTTCACATGGCCTTCACTCTGTGTGTCTGTCTGTGTCCTAATCTCCTTTTCTTATAAAGACACTAGTCACATTGGATTAGGGTCCATCCTAATGACCTTACTCTAACTTAATCACCACTTTAAAGACCATATTTCCAAATATAGTCACACTCATATACTGGGGTTAGGATTTCAAAATAGGAATTTGGGGGGACACAATTCAGCCCATAACAGATTCATTCATATTGTTGAATATGACAGTAGTCTGTTCATTTTCATTGCTATGCATAGTCTGGTGTATGAATATTTCGTAAGCTATTTAGCCATTCTAACGTTGAGGGGCACGGGCCCGTTTCCAGTTGAAGGATATGAGGTTGAGGCTATTATGAACATGCTGCTCTGAACCTTATAATATAGGCTTCCTGGAACACATTTGCCACTCGTCTTCCATTGTCGAGATACTGGGCCAGTATCCCCATTTGAAAGATGAAGAAACTGGGTCCCTGAGGGAGGAAGTGACTCACATGAGTCCAACAGTGAACAAGTTTCAGAGCCCAAATCATCTAAGAGCCTCTGAATAGTTTCACAAGCTCTAAAATATGTCACTGGCCTAACCTGGTGTGACGGAGAAGAACTTCCCAAGGAGTGTAAAGAAAGCCTTTTGTTTATCAGGGGGCTGCACATAGGGACCTGTGACAGCCACTTTTTAACTGGAGAGGAGGTGATGACAGCAACATCTGGGGGAGGAGGGGGGCTGGACTGTGAGTTTCATTCCCTGTGATTGGGGCAGTGAGAATGGACAGAGGTTGGCCTAGGAGGAGGACCCCACCGGGCTCGTGCCTCATTCACGGCTTGAGATCCGCAATGAGTAGAAGCACCAGAGCAGCAACAGCTGGACAAAGAGAGATGCTTATGACACGTCATGAGGCTCAGGGGTCAGCCCTCGGCCTCATGGGCCCTCGATGTGTCAGGGCCTTTTGGAGGGTGGAGGGGTGCATTGATAAGTTGGGATGCTCTGTGCAGAATTTCCTGAAACGTGCTAATGGACACATTCAGTTATATAATACATATAGGATATTGCCACTATTCCTTCTTAATGGCAGAGCCCCTATGTCCAAGAAACAATATGGGACTCACTGGAGATGACATAAATGTTTTGCTGTTGTTGTGGAATATTTCAAACACATCCAGAGGCATAAAGACTAGGATAATGGAACCCCTTGTACCCAACACCCAGCTTCAACAGTGGTCAACTTGGCCAATCCTGTTTCATGTACATCCCCATCTAACCCTATTATTTTAAAGCAAATCCCAGACATCATGTCGTTTCACCCTGGAAGTGAGGTTTTTATCATTGCTTATGGCTAAGGTGCCCTCTGGAAGGATAGAGGCCCCCAATCTCAGTGTGAAGGAGAAAAGAGTTCTCTAAAGATGGAGTACCTCCTCCTGTTATTGCTCACCCTAGGAAGATAGTCCAAGCTGAGCATTGGCCAGATGGAGCCGGGGCCACAAGACTGTCCAAGCATCATCACCCCCCCCCACACACACACACGTATGCACACATGCACACATATTCCTCAGAACTCCTAAACAAGACCCTTCTATCTGCATCTGTAAGCCACAGCCAGTGGATGCAAGGCAAGGGGAGAACGCTGCCCTCAGAAGCAGGGGGAGTAAATTTTAATCTCATATGGCCTCCAGACATCCCTTAGCCTCTCAAGTTTCAGTTTATTAATATCCATGTGAGGGCTCACTAGTTTCCCAGTCCAAAAGCAGATGATCCTTCCAGGGTTAAGATATCTCAGTCTCTGGGAGCCCAGCCCCAGTGCCCAGCACAGCCCAGACGCAGCCCGGACGCAGGGCAGGCAGTCCAGATTTTGTGAACCTGAAGCTGATAGGATATGAAGGTCCCCTTTAAAAAGAATACTAAATTGTAAAAAGATATCAGGGACAGGCCCTTGGATGACCCTGGGCAAGTGAGGGGCTCAAAATCATCAGCTTGGGCAGTGGCACTGCATGGAGGAGAGCGAGTCTGGCTCCTTGGCTTATCACGAGACCCTGCCTGCGGGGTGCAGAGAAGGAAATGGGGAGAAATACCCTTTTCCTCACTCCTGTGGAGCGAGGACGAATGAACTCACTAGAGCTACTCTCAGGCTGCTTAGATACTGGGGCATAGTTGTACCTACGTGGGGCGCGGTGGGTGAGGCAGTCCGCATCATGAGGCTGGGGCTGGGGTTTGGAGGGGTGGGACACGGTGTGGGCTGTGGCCGCGTCAAGGAGCCCGGGGCGGGGCGCACCGCCTCTGGGCATCGTTTTGCAAGTAGGTGATGAGAGAGGCGCAATGACTAAGGGAGATGGGAGGAGAGAACGGGTTTGAGATAGAGTGATAGTCTGATAAGAGAGGAAAGGTACCTGAAGACAAACAGCAACACGGAAAATCAAGCATCCACACCCAGGAAAAAAGAAGCATCCGAGCCTGACACCTGGTGGGGGAGGGTGATACTGCTCGCGGTAGGCGTGCCCTCAGAGAGGACCCCGGAGACCCCAAGCCAACCGCTTGACTAGCAGAATGACCTGGGAAAAGACATTCCCCTCTGGGCCTCAGCTTCCTCAGCTTCCAAATAAGGAAGTGTTCCCAGAGAGCTCGACAGACCTCAAGTTTATGGGAAGAAATTTCTCAGCTGGAAACTCTTGCCTCCTTAACGTGCTCTTAACCCCTGGCATCTGCTACCCTTTGTCTGCAAACATTAACATAGATGACAAAACACATAGACATGGGAATGCATGTGAACAGAACCCCTGAGAAATAGCCCATTATGCTCTCCTGCCTGGGCATAGGTGCTTGAGTTTGTGGTTTGCTGTTGCATGTGGGAGAATCAGCCTTTTCAGCCAGAGTAAATGAATCAATAAGTCAACTTCCTAGTCTCTCCATGGCAAAAAGCCCCTGAAGGGTTCTAAGAGAACATCCTTTCTGCTCCAGAGTTCTGGGGTTTTCTGGCTGACTTCTGGAATATTCTGGGAGGAACATCAAGAACAGTGAGATGGAGATGATAGCGAAGGCTTCCAAGAGGGCTAAGGTTAAGATGAAGGAGAAGGTAACTTAGGATGGACATGGTCAAATAGAGAGGAGGATTTGGGGAACTTTTTCCCAAGATATTGAAATGAAGCCCAAATCCCCAATCCTGATTTTCCCTCTACACGCCTTACCTCTCATGCATGTGTCTTTATTAACCCTCCAGGTGCCTTTTCCCTGTCTGTGAAGGACGTGACCGCCCAGGGGGAGATGATCAAACACTATAAGATCCGTTCCTTAGATGAAGGGGGCTATTACATCTCCCCCCGGGTCACCTTCCCCGCTCTCCAGGATTTGGTGCAGTACTATTCCAGTAAGAAGAGGGGTGTCTAATGGGGGCAGGTGCTTGTATTTTTCTGTTGCTAAGATCTCAAAATTTTGTGACTCATTAGTGCTATCTTTGCGGGGAGTGGGGAGATTATCCCAAGGCTGGACCCAAGGAGTTGACAACTGTTGATAATAGTGATTCAAAGTCTGTGTACCTAATCCTCTCTCCTGGCTAAGCATGCAACCACTTGGAGAGTAACGAGTATTTTCAGTCTTACAGAGAACAGGTCAATGATAGCATGCCTGCTTTATGGAAAACAATTGCAAAGAGCAGAGTGTGTATGTGGGGGTGGGGTGGGGGGACACAACTGTGAATCCCGAGGGAGAGATGCCAATCTGACCAACTCTGCTTCCTTACTGCAGAGAAGGGGGATGGTTTATGCCAGAGGCTGACCCAACCCTGTGTGAACCTGGATCCTCAGAACCCCTGGGCCCAGGATGAATGGGAAATCCCCCGGCAGTCTCTCAGGCTGGTCAGGAAACTCGGGTCTGGGCAGTTTGGTGAAGTCTGGATGGGTGAGTATGTGGCCTGCCAGAAGCCCCTCTCTCCCTGCCCTGCGTCTTGAAGCACGGAAGGCTCAGGATTTGCACAGTGCGTCCTGCTTCCCCATCTGGGCTTGTGAGGGAGAAGGGACAGGGGCTACGATACCCATTTTATAGACAAGGTAGTGGACCGTTGTTCTTCAACTGCCTGAAGGGGACTGACACAGGCTGGCATCCTGCAAGATAAGCTGGCACATTCAGCATCCTCAGGAGCTGTACATTCCAGCCCAGGGCCACTTCCTGGGGGGTGGAGGGCAGGTTCAGCTCAGTGTGTATGCTGCAGGTAGATGGCTCCTGGAAGCTCATATAGATTTTGGTTAAAGGATCACCTCCCACAACCTCTGGGTCTTCTGAATGGCTTCTTCATTCTCTCCCCCCACCTCACCCCCTCTCTTGGGTCAGGTTATTACAAAAACAACACGAAGGTGGCCATCAAGACCTTGAAAGAGGGAACCATGTCCCCAGAGGCCTTCCTGGGCGAGGCTAACCTGATGAAAACTCTCCAGCATGAGAGGCTGGTCCGTCTCTACGCCGTAGTCACGAAGGAGCCCATCTACATCGTGACCGAGTACATGGCCAGAGGTGGTGCCCCACGTGGGGCTGCGTCCCTCAGACAGAGGCGGGGATGGGCGGGGTGAGGGTCCAGGCTTACGGAGCTGAGAAGGCGGAGGCCCATCTGCTTCTGTGGGTTTGCCTGGCTAGGGGACTTCTGCAGGGAACTGCTGAGCCATGGGCTGAATCAGTTAGCCAACGTCCTGGGCATCTAGGGTGTTCCACATGCATGGGGGTGGGAGGGGAGGATGGCGAGAAACAAGATGGCTAAATTGTTCTGCAGAGCTGTGTCCTTGGCTCAGGAGCACTTCAACTAATATTTTTGGTGTGTCTTCTGTGCCTGGCGCTGTTCGATACCCACTGGGGAGGACAGAGCAAGGCAAAGTCAAAAGAGCAGAAGGCTGGGCATCCAGAGATGGCTCTATTCCCAGTTCTACCACTTACCAGCCATGAGACCTTTTACAACCATGTGAACATTTTACAGCGCGATGAAAAGAGGTTGGGTGAGATGGCCTCTGAGGTCCAGTGCGGCCAAGCTTTCATTGAGCAGTGGGCCTGGGGTCAGGCCTCAGCCTTTGACCTCCTTTTCACCCCTTCTGTGACACTGACCACACACTGCTTCCTTTAGGATCCAAAGGTGCCATGATAATATAATTTCTGAAACGTCACCATGTTGAGCTGGAACACAATGACTGCCCTGCGCACTTCTCAGCTATACCTCAGAAGGGCATCCCTCTCAGCTCTCAGATGCCACAGAGGAGCTGCATTTGTCCCCTGCGCCAAACCCTAGGAGACGGGTCTTTCCATTTGTGCGCTTCTTTGCACTCTTGCTCCTCAGAGGCAGAATCTCTACCAACAAAGGGTAAAGGGGGCAAGAATGTCATGCCAAGAATGAGCACTAAACTTAGAGTCAGAGGAGCAGGTTCTGCTCCTGGCTCTCTGGCTACATGACACTGAATTTGGCTGAGACTTTACTTTCTGTGAGCAGCTGGAAGCCTATTAGCTGTCTCCTGGGATGCTGTGAAGACCAAGGTTGGAATTCCGTAAAGCAGAAGGCACTCTGATGTTGGGGGTGGATTTCTTTGTGGACAAAAGATCTGACAGAGCACCACCTACTTCCGGCCCCTGGCGGAGAGCAGCCCGTACCTGGGGGAGGCTGGCATACCAGGGTAGAGTCATTTGCAGAACTGCAGTAGCAATTTCTCTTTCTTTAGGATGCTTGCTGGATTTCTTGAAGACAGATGAAGGTAGCAGATTGTCCCTCTCAAGACTGATCGACATGTCAGCCCAGGTTAGTGAGCTACCAAGGACAATGGGGCCTGAGAATACAAATGCCCCCATAGGCGCCCAGGCCTCTCTGCCCTGCCCTGGGGCCTGACAAAATGGACTATTTAGAGGTTGTATGAATTCGATTTAGGCTGGGCTGTGAAAGACAGAAAACCCAAAGTAATAATGGCTTAAACTTGTAAATATCCAAACGTGGGCAGTCTGGGGCAGTAGGTGGGTCTGCCCCTCAAAGTCCCAAGGACCCAGGTTTCTTCTACCTGCCTGGTGTTTTAGAGTGTCATCTGATTGCCCCAGGTAGCTGCTCACATTTTACCATCTTGTCCTCTTCTCAGCCAGCGGGAGGGAGTAAGGGGGGACAAAGCCCACTTTCCTCCCTGAAGTCACTCACTATTCTTGCTTTTACATTTTCCTGGCCACACCTAGCTGCAGGGGAGCTTGGGAAATGTAGTCTTTATTCTGGGCAGCCATGATGACATGAGGTGGATTCTATCACTAGGAGAGGGAGAACAGTTGGCGTGGGAAACCAGAGAGTTTGCATAAATTCCATTTACCATGTCAGGCAAGTGTTTTGTGGTGACCTCATTTCTTCCTCAGGTGTTGCCTTCTGTAGCAGGTGGGAAAATGGAGAGGAGGGATCTTTCTTCCCTGGGGATTTTAGCTGAGGGCTCTAACTGGCTGAAAAACTCATCTGGTGGCCCTGAGTGTGTGTGTCTGTTAAAACTGGAACTCTCAGCAGAAAATCTCTGGTCTGTGGTCAACCTGTAAGACGTGTAAACACACGCACGCATCCGGCTGCAGAGAGGAAACCTCTCCTCGCC